GTGGCGGTAGCGGCAGCGGCAGCGTCATGGGGGACACGCTGGAGGAGCCGTGGTGGGAGACTCCGTCCGGAGCAGGCAGCAGCCCAGGTACTCGTCTCTTGGAGCTCGCTTCTCACGCCGGCCTTGAAACAGTCTTCCTGAGGGCCAGCCCTCTCTTCCCCGGCCCTCATTCTTCCTTTTCGTTTATTTCGTTTCCCCCATCCCTTTAGCCCCCCGCCTTTCCCTTCTCCGGTTGTAATTTACTTCTGGTTTTCCTTTCTCGCTTTTTTTTGCTGTGCCTGCTTTTCACTGCTTGGTACCGATGGCGGTTTTGATTGTAAACAAAATCTCCGCAGCCAGGTGAGGTCTAATCTCTGACCCCTCAGACCCAGGATAGTTAGAGGATGAAGCGGCAAACGAAAATATCAGTACTTAAGTAACAACAGGAACCCACTCAACAAAAATACCTTTAAGCGAATTTTAAAAAGCGGGGTGGGCCGGGGGGGAGAGGAAGAAAACCGCTTGCTGATTTCAGAGTTCAGCTGTCCCCTGCATTCATTTAGCTTCTAAACTGTTTTCTTCCAAACCGAGTTTCTTTGATGAAAGGACGTTGCATAATGCGTGTTGATTGTTGTTACCGACGTGAAGTTACTTACTGTTTTTAAAGGCATTGGAAACAGTAAATCCATGCTAGAGCCTTTGGAGTGAAAAATATCTGTGGTACTTGAAAAGCATCACCCATGTGCTCATTGGGGTGTCTTGCATCACCTTTGCCATGCCTTATTATAAGAGGGCAGGAGTTAAACAGCTTTTCTCCAGCCATTGCTCTTTGGAGTATGGTACTATGGTTGATTTGTCTCTTTTCCTGATGATTATAATATCTGGCCCCTATACTTGGCTTTTTTCAATGTGTCTTAAAGCACTTTACAGCCTGTGGTTGCATCTGTAATGTTGAGGTTCAGTGTGGAAATTTAGGTAGATCTAGGCAATTAAAATGCCTTAAGACTTTATAGTGTCCTATTTGATTGATTTTCTTTTTTAATTGATTTTTTTAATATAATATTGGTAAGAGTTGGGAGTTATCGGGAGTTATCTGCACCTCTGGGAAGATCCCAGATCTTCCAGTGTCTTGACAAGGGTTGCTTATTTCCTGTGAAAAGGTACTTGGAGAATAGTTTGAGAGGGACCAATAGAAAAATTGTATTTATGTAATAAAGAGGGGTCACAAGCCCTTGTAAGGCTCCTGAGCATTCCATTTGTATTTCTAGTCTCATGTAGGTTCCTTAAGCAGTTTCAGTTCCTATGGTAAATGATCTTCATCAGGAATTTTTCATTCAAGAGTCTTAAATATCTTAAGAGCCTATGCCAACCAGGTTTCATTTGGGGTGGGTGGTAAGCTGATTTTTGTAACATTGGCAGCTTTCCTTTAGAAACTGGATGCAAAGCAGGACTTGGATGATAAACTTTTGACATGATGGATAAACCGACTGACTTTGCGATGAGACTGTGAATCACAACTCTTCCAGTTAAGTAAAACTCCTTGGGATTTTTGCAATTGCATTGTTGAGCTACTAAAATAATTCAGGTGGGAAGTAGCCTCTGGAGGTGTCTAATCTAGCCCTGTGCTAGAAGCACTATATGCACTTTACTCCAAGAACAGTCTTTGAATGTGTTACCAGTAATGATTACAGGTGGGTGTTGTGCAAACCATGTACTCTGCTGTCCATATCCCACCTTTGTAAACTTATGTGGAGCCTGTTGTTGTATTAAGTTGACACAAGCTGTCAATAAAGTAAGAATAACATCCGTTACTTTTATTTTGTGTAGCTATTTTTCACGTACAACAGATGTAAAATCAAAGGTTAATTTGTAGCGCATCTTATGGATACTGTAAAATGCTTTACAATCAGTTGGCATGAAATAGGAAATCAGGGTTTACAATGTACAGTGTAAGCAGCAATACAAGAAAATAATTGCCTATTAGCGAGCACTTTTGACAGACTTGATCAAGTTTATTTCTGTGAAACATCAGGTTTCATTAAAAAAAAAGTTTACTATCCAACTTCATTTGCTGACCTATTTTAGAAAAGCATCTCTGCCACAGCTGTAGATGCAAAGCAGAAGTATTCAAAATGTACTTTTTAAATACTGATCTTTTGCCAAGTCCTTTAGCCCTAGAATAAGTCCTGACCAATGGAATATTCTTCATAATAACTCAGACCTCAAAAGTGTCTTAGATTTTAGCAACTTGTAGTTACAAGAGGCTACTCTTCTGAGACTGTGCCTCTGTAGATGCTACTACATATGAAGTGGATGAAAGATGTTCAGACTGACTTGAAGGGTATGAAAACACAAAATATATATCCTAGTACACGGATATATAAGTAGTTCTTAATTTGCTTTTGGCCACATCATTGGAAATCATTATTTTAGAAGCCATAATAAAGATTAAAGGTGTTACTGTCACTTTGAGACATGAATGTTTACCCTGCTGCAGGTGGCTTATAAATGTAAAAAAAAACCCCAAAGCCAAAACTGACAAAAAACCTGGAGGGATTAGCCATCTATTTACCTTGTCACACTACACAAACTAAACAATCTTGCCCAATAACTTCTTCAGCAAACCTTTAACTTTGAGAGGATATTTGTGGAGAGAGCGGTTAGGGGTAATTGTCTACTCATCAGTGTTGTTTAGTGTTACGTGTGTCCCAAGTCATTTAACTGCAGGGCTTCCTTCCCTCCCTTTTTTCAGTTCATGTCACAACTATGTCTGGTCTTGAATATGATTTTTATATTGCATTCAGAACTATGAAGGAGAGGATAAGGAATACTAAGGAGTTTGTTTAGTACTGGTGAAAGACACCAACTTTTTCCTTTTCTCTCCATGAACAGAAAGAGCACTTCTCACTATAAATGTTCGTATCTTGCCTGTAGCCAGCATGCCACATCTCCCGAGCAGTTTGAGGGAGAGGGATGGACTTCTATTTTTCAGAAATTCTTCCAGTTTCCTCCTTTTATGTTACCACTCCTTGTCTTTCATTCTCCATGCTTTCTTTGTCTCCATTAATCCCTTAAGAGTGTAGTATCCCCCTTTGTCCGTTTATTTAGATCCTTAATAAGAGCTTATGTGGGCCATGTCCCTCATAGGTAGAAATGAATTGTGTCATCCCAAGACAGGTGCAAAAGACAGGGAACCTCTTCTATGTCAGCAGTACAAATAGGTGAGAAGTATAATATGGAGGATGATTTGACAGTACTTGTGGGGTCCTTTGTGGGCTCTAAAGCAAAGGATGCTATCGCAGTAATTAATTTCTTTCGCCAGAGGTTTTATCTTCTTTCTGTAGACTGGCCATAAAGGGTGCCGAATAGCATCAATTTGTAATATGTGATTTGAACTACTGAGAAGCGGACTGTTCATTGTAGTGCATTCAGTGGGAGTTTTGTTGTTTGATCAGAG